TTGTAGCACATTAAACTATTTGCATGATGAACAGCAAGTTATTTAGATATGAACTTAAACCTGCTGTTTATACAATATTTAGTGTATATAGCTTTAAAAAACTTGCCGGAACAATATTTGAAGGAAATTTTTTGTATAAAGAATCTAAACCTAGAAAGCCATAAAATTCATGGACAAACGTAAGTTCTAATAATATGTGTTTCGTCAAAAAGTTCGTACTCATGTTACGTATTATAGGGTAATACGTAATATGAGTATAGGGTAACTGTATTTGCGTATTATAGGGTAATACGTAATACATATTCATTATTCCTACTTCTCTCCTGTGAGGAGAATAGGGTTGATTCACGATATTGTAGATAACTATGAACACCACTTTTTTATGTCATTGAGTTTACTAGGTAAGTGACTACCGTAACGTAGTACATACAGTGTATAATTACTATTCCTAACTGGTGTTTGTCAGTCAAAAACAAAGCTCAAATCAACTCTATTTTGTCCATTAATTTCCATTTTATTTCGATTTAATTACGATTTTACGTAATTATATGTAGATCATATTTTTATCTTTAATCATTATAAATGTTTGTATAACATTATTGTTGATTTTATTTAAAATTTTTTTTTTCAATGAGCTACCCAATTTTATTCGAGCCACTTATATTAATGCATATATTGCTTGTAGGTACATGCAATCCTTCATAAAGCGCTCATAGTAAAAATAATATAAAATAATTCAATCACCTCATATACACACATGTCTACCTTTAAGATAGTTAAAAAATAAACTCTTTTTCTCTTTGAATTTTTTGTTTATTATTACTCAATTAATCATTTTATTATATTTTTTTTATCGAAAATTTTTTACAAATTTTAAAAATTCTTAATGGTGACAATTCAATTTACACATGTTTTCTGTCAGTAATCGTTTGTATTTCACACTTATCATACTTTTTTTTTTGTGCAATAATTTAATATATTTAAAAAGAGTGTGAAAGAGAAGAATAAAAAGAAAGAGAAATTTGAAAAAAGAATGTAGAGTGAGAAAAAGATAATAATATTTTTTTTTAAATCGTTCAATAAACCAACATTAATAACAATTCTTTATCTCAATAATAAAAAAAACGAGAAAAAAAATAGAGTTGACCTTGTCAACTCTGTGATACCCGTACGAATTTGTTATCGTATGTGCGAATAACTAATGTGCCATAAGTAACTATGGGGCAGACTATGACTTTAAGTTGCCGTATTACCATATTAATTTATGCAAAATTTCAGTACTATGTGTTATTCAAAATACTGGTTGTGCCAAACTACTATTGATGTTGTATGGCAGCTACCAGAAAGAGCCAAGAAATTTTAGCGAATTTTATCAAGCACATCAGCCCTACTAATATATTCACTTGTGTGAAATCTCAATATCACAGCTTTTATAGTTTCTGAGATATAGTCAAATAACTTTTGAAGTTGTATGGCAGGTACCAGAAGGAGCCAAGTAATTTCAACACCTTTTATGAGACACATTGGTCCTACTAATATTTTCGTTTGTGTGAAATGTCAATACCATAGCTTTAATAGTTTCTCAAATATAGTCAAATAACTTTTGAAGTTGTATGGCAGGTACCAGAAGGAGCCAAGTAATTTCAACGACTTTTACGAGACACATCGGCCCTACTAATATATTCACTTGTGTGAAATCTCAATATCACAGCTTTTATAGTTTCTGAGATATAGCCAAATAACTTTTGAAGTTGTATGGCAGGTACCAGAAGGAGCCAAGTAATTTCAACGACTTTTATGTGACATATTGGCCCTACTAATATATTCGTTTGTGTGAAATTTCAATACCATAACTTTAATAGTTTCTGAAATATAGCCAAATAATTTTGCAAGTTGTATGGCAGGTACCAGAAGGAGCCAAGTAAATTCAACGACTTTTATGTGAGACATTGGCCCTACTAATATATTCGTTTGTGTGAAATTTCAATACCATAACCTTTATAGTTTCTGAGATATAGCCAAATAAATTTTGAAGTTGTATGGCAGCTACCCGAACCGGTACCCCGATCATGTCCAATTTAAATAGGGTTCTGGCACTTACTACAATAAATCATTTGTGAAAATTTGGTGAACTTAGCTCAATTAGTTTTTGAGTTATCGTTCGGACGGACGGACGGACGGACGGACGGACGGACGGACGGACGGACGGACGGACGGACGGACGGACGGACGGACGGACGGACGGACGGACGGACGGACAGACAAAGCTAAATCAACTCAGAATTTGACGCTGATCAAAAACATACACTTGAGTCTATATCTAACACCGTTATTTCTTAGCGTTACAAACGGTAAGGCAAATTTAGTATACCCTTCGAACATACGTTCGTACGGGTATAAAAAGTAAAAATTGAAAATTTTGTAAAATAAAATTTAAATATTTTTAGCGTTGCGAACATTAAATGAGGCACATTGTTTTTACATTCTTTATTAAAGTATAACAGTTAGAACACTGAAAGTTTAATTACATATTTGTGGTTTATTTTGTTAGGTTATATTAGGCTTAGCATTCCTAAGAAAAAGTACAGGATCTACTAAACCCCTTAGAGAGCACTTACCCCCTTTACAGGATAGTGTCGACTCAGAAACTAATTTATGTTTTACATTATTGTAATGGATTTTTATTTTACTAAATGGCTGTTCTCTGTACTAATGTCGCCCAATATTCGTGATTGTTTTCTTCACCAGACCTTTATAGTGAGTTCTATTTCTGTAACGAATTTTCTAAATAGTGAAAAATATGGGGAATATTTAATCACTTTTTCTTTGAAAAGCTTTTTTTCGTTTGAAAAAATTTTGAATTTTTAAAGATTTTGTTGCAAAAATATTATAAACCAACTGTAATGAACATTTAAGGTCCAATATAGTTTTCCCGGACTTCAAAGAAGTTTTATTAGCAGATTTTGAAGAATTTTGTCGTCTTTTCTGTCAGGTACTAGATATGGTGATAGTAGTCATTTTCCTAAATATAGTGGTCAATGAAATCAAATTTATATGTATAAAAATTTTATCAAATTTTTATTGCTTTCTGTAAAGAACTAATGTGTATAGTTTTTTCGAATATTGATACTTTTAACCAGACATTTTACACTTATAAATAAAATCATACATGTATACATACAGCTAAGAAGATTTACAAGATAATATGCATACAAACACATACAAACGCTTAAAATAATAATTGTGTACAATATTTAAATAAAAAAATATGAATTGGAAAAATTTTTTTGCAGACAAAGAATTAAATTGTACTATTAGTAAATAAAGTTTCAATTTCAAAACAATAATTTATCAATATTAATTTCAAATTTATTGCTACTATACAAATTGTTTAGTAATGCTCAAAAATCTAAATACAATTTTCCAGATATGCATGCACTTTTAAATTAAAAAATAATAGCAATTACAATTATGAGTAATTTTCCTGTTAGGTTAGGTTAGGTTGCACGGCCCCCCGAAGGGTACACCTATGCCACTAAGGCCCGTTGTGATGCCGCCGGATCCCCCCTCTCTCCCTCAGTAGAACCAGCCGAAGTTCCTCAGAAATTTTCCTGTTAATTTAAGATATTCTAATTGGGAAGAGTTTAAAAATTAATTGAAGGAGTTATGCAACTTTGCTCTTAAAATTATATTGACATGCAATCGATTTTGTTAAAAGAATATTTGACATCTATCATGTTGTCTATCAAAATGTATGCATAAATCATTTTTTTCTACGAAATACGAAAATGTTACTTATCTTATTCGATTATAATGATTTGGGGTGTATCAACTGAATTCGAGTTAGTAAAATAATTTGGCAACAATATACAAAATTTTAAATTATATATAGTTACAAATTTCAAACAATTTGTTGTAGAACTATACATGTGTCGAACGTCACCATTTTTTTTTTCAATTTTCAACCGCAAGTTGAGTGACGTAATTTTGAATTTTTAATATAAATTTGTAGGTATACGTCTCATAGGTGAATATTTTGTTTACCTACACATAAAGGTATATAAGTACATATATATAATACTCGTACGTATACACTTAATGGTATATTTGTACATATATTGTTTAGAACTTTTGTGGTTTTGGAAATACATCCATGCTTACAGTATAAACCATTTAAGAACAGCATGTATTAATAACAGCCCAATGTTGCATATTTTGTTTGTAGGTAGCACTTCTTGAATGGCTGAATGATTGTAATATTATGACAACGACTAAACGTAAAAAGTTGGGAGTTAAACTTTTACATACAGTTGCTGCTTACGTGACATGACGTGACGTAACGTAACATGATACAATTTGGCCGGGCGTAATATGATGTGACATAATGTAACGTAATGTGACTTGATATGACGTGACGTAACGTAACGTAAAGTGATCTGTTATGACGGGACATACGTTGAAGTGTTAAGATGATATGATGTGACATAACGTACCTCGACCCGATATCAGGTGACGTGACGTATATTTTACAATTATAACGGTTCTCTATTGATTGATAACTTTAAAAGAGTTGCAACACTGAAAAAACAGGACATAATTAATGTTAACCTTATAACCGGCGCTCATCATTATTCCTGCTCAGTATTTTTATGTCACGTATCAATATCGAGAAAAACAAAATCAAAACAAAATAAGTTGAACACGGACAAAAGGTTGTTTTTCGTTAAAAATTAATTCGTTTGTGTGGTGAATTGTAAAACGGTAAATAAAACAACTGTTATCGATTGTTTAATATTTTTTACAGTTAATAATAATTTTTCTACAAAACTTTTAAAATTCTTTATCATATAAAACAAAATTTGTTGTTGTAAGGTTGTAGTCAAGTTGTATTAAAAATTGAATTACAATAAGAAAAACACAAAAAGAAAAAATTTGTTTCATAAATTTTTTTTTTGTTCATTTTTGGGGTGAAAAACAATTAAATAGTCGTTTTCAAACTTACGACCGCGAAAGTATGCTTTTGAAAATAAAAGCGATTTTTATAAAGTGACATACAAACATACATACGGGAATATTTTTTTGTTTTATAAAGTATCGGAATAGAATATTAAAATTTAGTGAGAACTTGTATTAAATTTATATACGTTTTCGGTTTTTTCTGTTTTTCCTCAAAACTTTACCACCAAAAGTTCTGTACCTGCCAATATTTTAGGTAATTTTGGTTTGTATTTGAATAACTTTATTTTATTCTTGGCGCTATATATAACATTAAGTTTTCCATTACCGTATAACAAAAAACCGTATTGAAAACGTAAAACTTAATTAAAATGAAATTAAAATTCTTTATTTTCAATTAATTTTCGAAGAGAAAAACGAAAATACCAAATAAATTATTACTCAAATAAAATATGAGTTTATTATTTTTCAAAATTTAATATTACAAAGAACAATACCTATAATTCGTTTTCATGATTTGTTTTTTTGTATAACACTTACATATTATATAAAACTATAAATGGAATGAAAGTTGTGTTGTGTTGTGTAGAGGAGCATGAAATTATTAGACGTGTAACTTTCATACCTAAAATAAAATTAAAGCTACTTGTATATATGAATAAAAAAAAATTTTTATTTTAATAGAAAATTAATGGAAATTTAATAATTTTTTTTTTTATATAATTCTTTGTGTAATAATGTGAACAATTTATTTGGGACATTTCAACAAAAAAAAAAAAATTAATAAAGTTATTGAAAATGTTGGACAATCAGTGCGATAGATAATGAAAAATCACTTATTTTTTAATGATTATTTATCAATATTGGACAAACATGATATACACATACATTTTGTTAGTGAAATCATAATTTTTGTTCATACGATTAAATTATTAAAGTCTTAAATTAATTTTTATATGTATAATGTAGGTACAAAGTGTATAATATAGAAACTGTAATTCAGAAATATTTAAAGTAACATAATCATTCTATCCCACTGGAATACGAAAAACTTATTGATATACGAAAAAATCAAAGAATAAGTTATTATCGTAAAATTACTTGGGCACAGTTAAAAATAGATTGCACCATATATTTATAACGTTCTATTTAACTGCATTTAATACTGTGAACGTATAACACTTTATGTACATCCAACTATATCAGCCTATACAAAAATGTAACTGAGAGAAAAAGTTAACAAAATTTATTCTTATATAATATGAAAAATAAATATTAAAAATTTTTAATAATTAAAATTATATGTATATGAGATATTTATACTTCTGTATAACAGAATTTCCATACGAGTCAGCAAATTATTGAAACAATTACTATCAACTAGTTCATAGGAGTTCAACATTCCACTAAATAGATCACAATATTCTCTCAGTTTTTGTTATATCTTGTGTTGTGCCAGTACAATATCCCTGTAAATTATTGCAGTATGAACTAAAACTAAATTATAAATTTTAATTTAAATGATTAATTATAACATATTATTATTATATGTAGAATTATTAACATATTTAAACAAGACTTGTTAGAATTACTTTTTTAAAAAAATTTTGTTAAAGTAAAATTTTTGAATTATTAATTGTTATTATCATTCTAAATGTTATCAATGTTATTACTGTTACGAAATGACGTCGTTTACGTCAATTACATTATTAGTTAAATGCAAAAAACAAATAAATATCATTTTATTATTTACTTATCTAAAATTTTTTTATTAAATAATAATATTGTAGGTATATAGTGGTCAATAATTAAATGAACTTTTTAATTCACTAGGCCATATTATTATAGTGTAGGGTATATTGAGTAAATTTAATATAAAAGTTTAGAGAATATTGCACTTGTTTTATATTTTAACTTTAATGATTTTTAATCAATTAAAAGTATTTATTATCTATTATTTAAAGAAATCCTTAAAATTTAAGTAGTTTAATAATGAATATATTGTTATCTACTACTTAACTGTATAAATAAATTGTATAACACTGACTGAATAATAATGAACAATATAAGTGGTTCAACTATTCAACTTAAAAGTGCTACTGTATATTGTATGTTTAATTATGATATAAGAGACAAAACCCTTTCTAGGAATTTAATTAAGAATTATTTGTATTTAAAGTAGAATTTTGGAAGAAATTTCCAATATCGTAAAAGAATTCCAAATATCTAATAATAGAGAAATAGCTTTTCTAACCTTACTTTTCGAATGTTAAGAATGTTAAGAAAAACATATTTGTAAAAGTTTTAAAATAATAATGAAAAATTTTTCGAAAAATCCACTAAAAATTAATTCCATTTAAATAACAGGCTACATAAGTTTGGAAATTTATTTTGGACAATACATTGAAAAAGCTCCAAAACATTACAATTACGTTATAAGTTTCTATATCAATAACTCGACATACTGTCCATATTATACTTATATTCTAGGGTATGGCGGCACATTGAATCAAAGAAATGGTCTGTCAATATTATCAATTTTTTTTTTTAATTTATTCAAATAAAATATTTGCATATAATATACTTACTGCACCCATTTGTTGATTTTGCTATACAACAAATATTTGATGTGATCAGCATATAACCGAATGAATTGTGTGTATTCTGTAATAATCAAATTCTGTTTTTTCTTAGTTTAGTAAAAGTGTTGTATATCAGACTATGAAATTGTTCTTCAAATATTTATTTCAAATTTTAAGAAAACTCTAGTAACCTGTCAGTTGATATACTTATATCTCCATTGAAAAATGTAAATATCGTTTTTCGCAAAAGTTTATTTATTGCGATGCAAATTACCCGAAAAGTTTACAAAAAGAATTCAACTATAAAATTTCACTATAAAATACTCACTGTGGAGGGCAACAAAGAAAATGAAGCAACCTTTCAAACATCTCGCTCCTTTCAAAAACAAAGATGGAACGTGGGCAAAAACTGACAATCTATATTGTTGATCGCTGTAATTACTAATGAATGATTCCACTGATTTCTTTTTCAATTTAGATGTGCTTTCGAATTTCAAATCGCTATCCAGTTTGTTGCACAATGTGGTACCTAAATATAACGTTTTTTCAGAGCCAAATTGCGAAGTTCTTATATTATTGGTATGCAGTATATTTTTATTTCTCGTGTTAATATTGTGAATATTTTTCCTCTATGTTACCTCAGATGTTGTATGGATGTTATCATTAGCAATATCATGTATATGGAGCATTAGTTTTAAGTCAGTAAAATCCTTAATAAGTAACAAACCATTTTGTTTGTGTATGAACTCAGTTCTTTTCCTCCAATTATAATTAAATAAATTTTTAATTGCTCTATTTTTAACTATTTGCAATTCTTCTTTTATCCTTTTTGAGTTTGTTCCCCATAATTTAATGCCGTAACTGAGATGGCTGTGTAATAAAGCATAATATACTGATCTCTTCACATTATCAGGTAAGTAATTTGAAACTATATAAAATACTTCTGCAATCGATGACAATTTCTTTTTTAATTCATCTATTTGTATATTCCATTTCAAATTGTAATCAATCCACAGGCCCAGATACTTGTATTTCGGAACATTTTCTAATGTGATATACATATGTAAGTAGGTCAACAAATCGATAGCTAAAAATAGTTTATTTACGTTTCTCTGCTTCATGTAAAAATTAATTTTCATTGAAAATTCGACATGTGAAATTTGATTTCCATCACAATGCCTCCATTATTGTAAACTGTGCCCTGCTGTTGGTTGATATTTTTGTATTAATTTTTATAATTTATACGTAGTATTTTTTATCGCTAATACTTCAATATTTTTGGGGCTGGTACTTCTATGACTAACACGTTTTTTTTTTTGTATCTAGTGCAAATTTTAAAAATTTTTTTTTTAATGTTTTATTTAAATTATGACGTAATACACCTAAAACATTATAAGTGTGAGCAGCAAAAAGCAAGTCTTTTTGTATTCCACACTTATATGTACCATCAATTTTTTTTAATCACACCTTTATTAAAATAAAATTTTCGTAAAATCTTAACAACAAAAAACAAGACTGAAAAAAATATTTTTCGCGGCATAAAATTTTTATTATATACTCTTGTCATACAAGCAAATTAGATCTAGATATTTTCCACATAATATTCATTTATGACTTTATGATTTATTTCCTCTCCAAAATATCCAAAATTTAAAATTTTTCTTTTTTCACAAAAATGAAGAACCAACAAAAAAATTTTTTGAAGATTATAAAAAAATTGAGTATTCTACAATCATTAAATATCAATTAAAACCATAAATTACTGATATATTAGTAAAGATATAATCAAAATTAATTAAGCTTGTTACCCATATTTTCTAATCAGCAAAAACTGTCGTGATAATTTTTATATCATTTTTCACGTCTCAAAAATTTTAAGGAATTTTTAATCATATGATTTATAATTTTTTTTTTTTTTAATTTCTTATCAGTTTATATTATTTTTGTGTAATTAGAGTACATTATGAGCGTCACTTATAATTTTGTTTTGATTTAAAATAAAATATAAAAATTAAAATTGTCAAAAAATTATTTACAACGTTTAATCTGTCCATTTGTTACGAGTGATTAACACGAAAAAATTGTGTATATCTAAAGGTAGGGAGTGGCACTCTATAAAATTAATTAAAATCAAAATAATGATTGCAAAAATGATTATGTGTAGAGGGCACAGAGCGGGGTCTGCCGTCTTTACTTGGGTGACAAGACAGCTGAGATCTTTCGGAATGCGCATTGTGATCCCGGTAAGAGTTTCGCGTTTTAAGCCGTCCACGACAATGCAATTTGTCAAAGGCCTCTTAGTAAAGTGCTAATGTAGGCGATACAAAGCATCCTATAGGTTAAGGTGAGACAAGACAAAGGGCTCCGGTCTCTTCCCGGAAAAAAAAATTTTGCAATTTAATATTTACAAATTTCATGCATATACACTTAATCATTTTTTAAATATTTTCAAATTTCATCTTGGATTAAAGTACTTCAAAGGGTTGGACCAGTATTCCTTCCATACACATACAACCATTTTTCAAATATTTTCAAACTTCATCTCGGACTTATGTATTTCAAAGGGTTGGGCTGGTATTTCGATATTTCTAGTGTTTGGATTATTGTGTATTAAAAGTTCATCTTAAGTGTATTATCTAAGAGAATTTACATTTGCCATTTTTATTCGTTATGCTACAGCTTCTGTATAGCTAATGGGTTAAAATACTCAAAAGTTCAACGATAGTAAAGATGTTTAATTTATTTGGTGGTAGTTGGCCTCCCATTGACTCTTTCAGATTATGAAAATATGTTACTGCAACTGTAATTAGAATTACGGTATAAATTTTTCCTATCATATTTTTTTTTATGCTTACTTTTATTTTCCACTGAAAACCTCATTCTATTAAAATTGAATTGATTGAACAATTTAAAATTTTTGGTGTAGTTTTTATTTTTTTTGCTATTTAACAAATAATAACATTTCTATTTTTCTACTGTAGTAGAGCGAACATATTCTATGGAATGATAAAAGCAAATTTCAATTCTTATCAAAAATTAAACGATTTTATACAATAATGTCCTTAAGATAAACTGATAAGAATTTAATTGTATAATAATATATTGGAAATCTTCTTGACATTATTTTTTGTTTTTTTTTTAAATTTCTGTCACAATAGTATTAATGTAAGTCTTCGCGTTATACCTTGTTATATTGCAAATAGACTTTGAGTGGTGCAGCAAACACTAAAAAGAGAAAAAGATAAGAGGTGAGCAAATATTTTTAATTATTTTCTGTAACAATTTTATATGCAATAATAATGCATTTTAATAGTAGGCCAAATAAATTATTGCAGACAGTGTTGTGAAAATATGAGCAGGTGTGATTGATTGTATTTCATTTATATACACATTGAATAAATAATTAAATAAAATAATTCAAATAAAATAAATTTGAAAAAAAATATTCACGTGACTAAAATTTATAGTATTGTAAATTAAATATAAAAAAAAAAATATGTAATTTATCAAGTTTCTCACGACTAATTGAATTTTATCAATGAATAATGGCTATATTTTGGGGTCAAAATATTATTTTAGTTCTGTTGTTTAACCGGGTATAATAAAAACCAGAGTCGAATCATAAGTGAGCCTTGCACTGCAAATCAATACTTCTGAAATATTTACTAATTTCTCTTGTACAATCTTGTACCTGAATAGCCTGTATGAGATGCAATTAATTTGAAATTGAAAATTCTGCGCAGCATTGACCGTATTGAAATTAGTTAAAAAATCCTCAAAGTATTGTAAAAGAAAAATTGTAGAGTTTTCGTTTTTTGTTAGTATTTTGTGGATTAAATGTTAAAAAAATTCACAACGAAACAGTTTATTGGTGACAAACCTTTTAATATAAATTTTTATTTTATATTTTAGATTCTTTGACAGTCAGAGTGTTGTTTGAATTTTCAAAATGGGTTCTATGTTCAGAAGTGAACAGATGGCCCTATGCCAAATGTTTATTCAACCTGAAGCAGCATATGCATCACTTTCGGAATTAGGTGAAATTGGTATAGCCCAATTTAGAGATGTAAGTTACAGTACAAAATAACAATTTTTCATTAACAACTTCATAATTATATTCTTATAATTAATAAGTACTTATATTTTCTTTTTCATTTTTAAGTTACATGATGGTGAAAATGATTTTCAACGTAAATATGTCACCGAAGTACGTCGCTGTGATGAATTAGAACGAAAAATTCGTTATATTGAAAAAGAAATTAATAAAAATGAAGTTGTTATACCACCGATTACAACTGAACCAAAAGCATTACAACCAAATGAAGTAACAAATTTGGAAGCACATTTAGAAAAAATTGAAAGTGAAGTAATTGAATTGTCACAAAATGAAATCAGTTTAAAGCAAAATTTTCTTGAATTAAAAGAATTGGCATGTGTTCTTGAAAGTACACAAGGTTTTTTTACCGATCATCAAATGAGACGTGTTAGTATTATTGCAGAAGATTTTAAAACAACATCAAATATTGCTAGCCGAGGACGTTTAGATTTTGTTGCTGGTGTTGTTGCACGTGAACGTTTATTTTCTTTTGAACGTATGCTATGGCGTATATCACGTGGTAATTGCTTTATACGACAAGTCGATTTAAATGATCCATTCGAAGATGCTGAAAGTGGAAAATTAATTCATAAAACCGTATTTGTGGCATTCTTTCAAGGTGATCAATTAAAAAATCGTATTAAAAAAGTATGTGCTGGTTTTAAAGCATCATTATATCCGTGTCCGAATACAAAAGGAGAAAGAGAAGAAATGTTACGTGGTGTAAAGACAAGAATTGAAGATTTAAAAATGGTTTTAAATCAAACAAGTGATCATCGTAATCGTGTATTAATCAGTGTTGCCAATAATTTAGGTAATTGGAAAATAATGGTGAAAAAAATGAAAGCAATTTATCATACATTGAATTTATGTAATATGGATGTTATGAATCAAAAATGTTTAATAGCTGAATGTTGGGTTCCAATCGCTGATATTTATAAAGTTCAAAATTCTTTAAAAGATGGTTCGGCAGCTGTTGGTAGTACAATACCATCATTTTTAAATGTAATTAATACAAATGAAACACCACCAACATTTAATCGTACAAATCGTTTTACGCATGGTTTTCAAGTATTAATCGATTCATATGGCATGGCAACATATCGTGAAGCAAATCCAGCATTATATACAATTGTTACATTTCCATTTTTATTTGCTGTTATGTATGGTGATTTCGGACATGGTTTAATTCTATCTGTATTCGGTCTATGGATGGTATTAAATGAATCAAAAATTATTGCACAAAAATCTAAAAATGAAATTTGGAATATATTTTTTGGTGGACGTTATATAATATTAATGATGGGATTATTTTCAATATATACCGGTCTAATATACAATGATATATTTTCGAAATCAGTTAATATATTTGGTTCAACATGGCGTAATGTTTATAATAAATCAACAGTTTTAACAAATAAAGATTTAGTATTAGATCCAAAAACAACATATAATTATACGTATCCATTTGGTATGGATCCGGCATGGCAAATGGCCGAAAATAAAATTGTATTTTTGAATACATATAAAATGAAATTATCAATAATATTTGGTGTTGCACATATGGTATTCGGTGTATGTATGTCCGTTGTCAATCATATACATTTCCGAAGATTTTTAAATATATTTTTGGAATTTATGCCACAAATATTTTTTTTAATTTTATTATTCGGTTATATGGTATTATTAATGTTTATCAAATGGATTAAATATAGTGCAAAAGCTTTAACAATTCCAGAAGAACCAGGATGTGCACCTTCAGTTTTAATAACATTCATTAATATGATGCTATTTACACCAGCTGGTGTTAAAGATCCAAATTGTGAAACAGAATATATGTTTTATGGACAATATTACGTACAGATGGCTTTTGTAGCTTTTGCACTTCTTTGTATACCATGGATGCTTTTATTTAAACCGCTTATTACATTATTTAAGAGTAAAAATCATAATCGTGTAAGTTAATTAAAGTATAGAATTAAAATAAAAAAAAATTATTTAAATTTATTTTTAAATTTAAGGTTCAAGTAGGTAATGTAGAAGGTCATGTTATGGTTCAACAAGTACATGAAGAACCATTTAGTGAAGTTTTCACACATCAAGCCATTCATACAATTGAATATGTTTTGGGAACTGTTTCACATACAGCTTCTTATCTTCGTTTGTGGGCGTTATCATTAGCTCATGCACGTATGATAATTTTTCTCTAATTCTCTAAGTTTAATTGAATAAAATTATTTTAATTTTTTTTTTTCAGAATTAGCTGAAGTATTATGGGCTCGCTTGTTTTCGATGGCTTTTTCATTAGCGCCTGGATATATTGGAGTGGCTATGATATTAATATTGTTTCCTGCTTGGGCATTTTTAACAATTGCCATTTTAGTTGTCATTGAAGGTTTATCAGCATTTTTACATACTTTACGTCTTCATTGGTAATTTTAAATATTAAAAAATTTTATAAATTTCAATTCAATTTTTCAAAAATATTTTTAAATTTTAAATATGTACACAGGGTGGAGTTCATGAGTAAATTTTATGAGGGCGCCGGATATGCTTTTGAACCATTCTCTTTTAAAACAATACTAGAAGCCGATGAATTCACTGAATAAAAGTTTTTATTTAATTTTAAATTAAAGTAAAACTTAAACTTTACATTCTACGTAACTCAAAATGTTGAGATCTTAATAATAAATAAATAAAATCGAAGAAAATGTTTAATAAATAAAAAAAAAAAATTTTTGTTACCGCTAAATAAAAATACCGTTAAAATTTTTATAATTGTTCCTCCTAAGGATCATAAAACTGAATGAAAAAAAAAATTATATAAAAATATAAAAAAAATTTTGTTTGTTTAATGCTAAAAATTTATTTTGATTTTTCTTATTCAAGGATCATAAATAATCACATATGTGAGCACACCTTTGCAGGAAAAGGATATTCCTCTCATAATCAAATAAGAATGTAAATATCGGAAAAGATTTTGGATTGTACTATATTCTAGCATGTATTCTGAAGTTGCATGAATACCAAGTAGAGTAGCCCTTTACCAATACAGCGTGAATACAATATAAGGGGGAACCCTTTTACAATAATAGGAGAAATAAAGAGTATGTCTACGTATTATAAAGAAATATGTGTAAAATATTTTAAATTTAAACTTCAATTTTTTTTACATAGAACGCTTCTGATTCGCTTTTGAGCCATAGCTGGCACAGATCGAAGAGTAGATGGCTGTGCCGCATCAAACAATACATTCATATTTATCGCGTATGCACATATAGAAATCAGCACATTTGATAACTAAAAGTAAAAATTAAATTGATCCTCTTAAATCAAACTGGACACTGTCCGTCCCTGCTGCCCATTTACAAAATTTATAAAAACACTAAAAATTTTTATTTACTTACGAAATATCGGCGTTTGTCTTTAAATTTTTTTGTTCTTTTTGAACGTTAATCAAAATGAGCCTCTGCTTAAAAGAACCGCCATTAAAAGGAGAACTAATTTAATCAACACAAAAGTCGCGTACTAAAACCCGGTTTTTTTTTTGTTTTATTATAACAAATGAGAAAAAAAAACAAAATGTCTTTGTGTTTATTTTATACAAAAACGTGTGTTCCCCTTTTTTATTTTTTTTGTTTTACTTCTCAGTTTGCATATGTACTTCATTTTTAACGGTTTAATGCCTAAGGATATTCCAAAAATATTGTATTTGTTTTTTTTATTTACTCCCTTGCTTTTTTTTCCATTTTATTGTTTTGTATTTTTATTTAAGTTGATTTAAATTGAGATTTGAGGAAAAAATAACAGACAAATAAAAAAAGAAAATGTAAATAAAAATGATCAACAATCTTTAAAACTCAAGAAAAGCAGAAAAATCAAAAAAGATATTTTCAATTCCCTTTCGACCACAAGTAACCAAAAAAAAAAACAGAAAAAAAAGCATGAAAACGTAGCATTTTTTCAGGTATAATTTTATTTTAAGGGACACTAAGGATAAGAAAAATGGACACTTTATAAGGACATGAATAAAAATTTAATGTGTAAAATAAAAAAGGACATACTAAAATTTTTCAAAAAAAATCAAAAGGATTAGAGGGAGGCGACAGTGATGGTAATCTTCCTTTATCTTTATAATTTCTTAATAAATTCCTGTAGGTTTAGATTAAATAGTAAATAATATTATTTTAACATTATCTTGAGTATTTCTTCAATTCAACTGAACTATGAAAATTTTTGGAAAAGGCTATAAAAACGTTTCATACAATTAAAAAGGTGCTGAATAGGCGTACTGCTGTAAATTTAATAACGTTGAAAGCAACACAGTCATTATGGGACAGGAGATAATGATTATGTCGGATAGCGGGGCTACGATAAGGGCGCTGAATTCGTTTTCAGTATCCTCCGCGGCAGTATGGGGTTGTCTTGAGAAGCTCAATGAGTTAGGCAGATTCAACCGGGTCATACTGTGTTTGGTACCGGGCCATATGGGCGTGGAAGGAAATGAGGCCACCGATGCGCTTGCAAGGAAGGAGGCAAACACACCTCTTTTTGGGCCGGAGCCATTCTGCGGAATTGAACCACATACTATTCGTTGGGAATTAAAGAAGGAATCAGAAAGAAGGCGGTCGGAGCGTTGGAGAAGTCTTTCGGGGCTTCCCGAAAGGGCTTTGATCATAATCTCCTGGGAGATTATGACCAGAAGCGATTTAAGAAAATTATAGGGATTGGCAAGAATCAGGTAAGAGTCCTCACCGGCATTTTGACGGGTCACTGCAGGCTTAGGGGACACCTCAGTCTGCTGTGCCTGGAAAATGAGAATACTCGCAGATTCTGTGGGGAGTATGGAGGGACCTTGGTGCACCTCCTGGGGCAATGGGTCTCGAGCGTGTGTTGTAGGGCATGTCCCGCACTCGGGTGGGGCGCACAATAAACCCTTTACGTGATCGCAGTGCACTGTTGCCCCCGTTGTACAAATCTACAATCTACGACACAGTCTTTAATAGCTACATATCTTGAAAAAAGCACACACTGTACCAACTCCTTGCGGTCTCTCTATAGGGTAGATTCCAGTATATTCGTAGTAATAGTTATGAAAAAATGAAAAAATGTTAACGCAGTCTTAAATGAATCACCTTGATTAAGCTCCTTTCTTTTCCACGCAAAACTTAGCTATATTACTTTGAAGATAAGTGATTGCTATTGGCGTGGAGTCATCGCTTCTAATACTGAATATTAATTCAGCTTCTCTTCTAATTCTCACCTTACTTCTTTTTAACTTCCTTTTAGATTCCGTACCTATATTTACTTTAAAATGTTATGCTTTTACTCATTTCAATTTTTTGGTTTATGTCATAATATAAATAACCTGTTAACTCTCTGATAGCATATAGACAGAATATTGACAAAAGAACAAGAAATTAATTTCATTTTATAATGCTTATTTTGAGTGTCCTTTTTTAAACAAATATTTTGAGATTGACAATTTTTTGCAATTTTCATTTAGAAAATTATTTATTTTCTTAAAATTTTATTTATTTTCACACTGAGAAAAAATTTATAGTTAAAAAAAAATCTACTAATCTCAGTTTTGATTTTGACAGAAAAAAATGAATACGAGTATGTTAAGCAGATCTTCGGAAAATCGCTTCTATGCCAGGCTGTTCACCCTATGCACGAGTTTTAACTGAGGGTGGATAACAAGAAAGTCTTGTTGCCGTAACTTAGTGAGCGAGTTAACCTCTCCATTTCTCTTTCTAATTTAAGCTATGAACAAGTGTAGCCTGCTATATAAGCCTAGAACGTTTTAGATCAAATTATTTTTGAAATAACTCAATTTTTTTTCTTTCAATTAAACAGTAAAATTCAAATATTCCAAACTAGTAATTTACTTTCAAAATTGAAGGACTTAAAAGGACTTTTATTTTCAGTTTCTCGTATAATATCCTTACTTGTGTAATACAAAAAGGAGCACATAATACACATACAATTCTGTTTGCAAACAAAAAATATAAACATAAAATATGCAATTGAGATATTATGGTAGTAGGATAAAGAAGGAAAAACAAAAACCAAATTATAATAAAAAACGAAAATAAAAAAAAAATAAGGAAAAAAAAAGGATAAATTTTCAAGTGGCCACTAAAATTTTATTTTATTTTGTTTTTTGTGTTCCTTCAATTTTTATATCACCAAAAAGGATAGCAAACTCTTTAAGGGAATATTATCTGTGTATTATGTAGGACTTGAAAAAAAAAGGATAAAATTTGTAAATTGAAAATAAAACGTTTTTCCTTATTTTTTCTTTGCTTTTTCAATGTTTTTCTAATTTTTACCGACTGCATTGCGTACAATACGGGAGGTCGTATGATAAGCCAAAATTTCTGATGTCGAGTTTTCGATGGAAATGCATATCTTCATGGTAGGGAAGCGTAAATGAACTATTATTTAGAAATATGTCAGCCTGTGAGCGTGCCGGTGCGTCTGCCTGTCGGTCTTACGGTTACGTTGGTTGCTCTGTGTCTGCACACCTGTATCTCATGGCTGATTTTACATTTTGGCGCATATAAAGGAAAATAGTCAAGCAATTTCCTTGAAATTTTTTGGAATTATCAAGGTTCGGAAACCAAACTATTGCCTATTTTAAATTTTGGAAATATTAAGGTTCCGAAACCAAACTATGACCGATTTTACATTTTTTATCATATCTGAGGAATTAATTGATGTTGCTGCCGAAATTAACTTCCGAACATTTCAGAGAATTCGAAGAAGAGAACTAAATTTGTAACCAAATTAGAAAAATGCCTTTAAAAAACATTTTTACTAGCTTCTGTAACACTTTCTCTATACTAGACATTAAACATTGTATTCGGATATTTGTTGACCACATCAGATTCTTTTCTTCTGTTTTAGAACTGAAATGGAACTTTTATATAAAATGTTTTTATTTAAACGTAAATTTTGTTCCTATTTTCGAATGTGGGTAAAAAAGAATATTGGTAAAAAGTTAAAAATGTAAAAAATCTCAAAGTATCAAAAGATTTACACAGGTAAAGAGGGTACAAAACAGAAATAGTATAATAAAATGGAAATTATATTCTGTTTTTAGTGTTTTGTATCATGACTTTAAACACACATTTTTTGAACAGATTTGTAACAAAAAAAAAATTTTATGGTATTAGAATGATCAACATCATTGTCATCGTAATCATCATTATTATTACTATTTCAATAATCAATAAGATTTTCATTTGTTTTTTGTAGAATTTTAAATTTTCTATATATAGTCTTTAGCTGTGGTTCCTGTGAGAAAGTAGGATTTAAGCTACTTTTAATGGAATTGCCATAATTGTTTAATGTTCAAATTAAAAGTGAACCAAATAATAGAATATTAATAATTTTGTTAAATCAATATTAGATAATTAAAAAATTTATAAAGACATACTTAAAGCAGAATCAGTGGCATATCGCTTTCTAAAACCGCGCTCTGCGAACGTGTAGTGTGAAGATGATTTTAAATGAAACTCGGCCAATGTATGCGTAAAAATGATTTTGAGGGGCCAAATATTTATATTAAATAAAATAAATTAACTTTTAATTTTGTTTTTTATAAAAATAGCTAACACATCTCACATAACTTCTATCGCAAAATAAAGCAAATGGTTTTTACTTTAAATTTGAGATGCTTTACAAGAATATCGTATATGATCTC